AGACTGTTTTGATTCCATTGTATGCTTTCTTTCTTTGTCAAATATTAGTTGAGCATAATGGCTTGGGGCTATTTCTGTGTTCTCTGTTCAGTTCCATTAGTCTATATGTCTGTTCTTGTGCCAGTACCAAGAAGTTTTGAGGACAGTGGCTTGATAATATAGTTGATATCTGCTATTGTGATCCCTCCAACTTTGATCTTCTCCATTTTTAATTTTTTTAGGAACTCCACACTGTTTTCCATAGTGGCTGCACCAGTTGAATTCCCACCAAGAGTGTACTAGGGCTACTTTTTCTCCACATCCTCCCCAGCACTTGTTTGTTGATTTATTGATGAGAGCCATTTTTGAAGGTGTGAGGTGGTATCTCAAAATCCTAGAAGAAAACATAGGCAGCAAAATATCAGACATCTCACATAGAAGAATGTTCACCAATACAAAGGAAAGATTAAAAAAAAATGGGACTGCATAAAATTAAAAGGCTTCTGCACAGCAAAAGAAATCAGCATCAAAATGAAAAAGGGCCCAGCCAGGACGACTCAGTAGTTGAGTGTAGACCTATGAACCAGGAGGTCACAGTTCAATTCCCAGTCAGGGCACATGCCCAGGTTTCGGGCTCAGTCCCCAGTGCGGGGCGTGGAGAAGGCAGCCAGTCAATGATTCTCTCTCATCATTGATGTTTCTCTCTCTCTCTCTCTCTCTCTCCTCTCTCTCTCTCTCTCTCTCTCTCTCTCTCTCTCTCCCTCTCTCTTCCTCTCTGAAATCAATGCAAATATTTTTTTTTTTAATGAAAAGGGAACCCACTGCATGGGAGAACATGCTGGCCAATGATACATCTGATAAGGGGTTAGTTTCAAAATTATAAAAAGTATTCATACAAGTCAACAAAAGTAAGACAAGCAATCTAATTTTAAAATGGGCAGAGGATGATCAATGCTTCTCTCCCATCATTGATGTTTCTTCTCTCTCTCCCTCTCCCTTCCTCTCTAAAATCAACAAAAATATATTTTGAGAACTTGACAGAGGATACCTAAATAGACACTTCTCCAAAGAGGACATGCAAATGGCCAAAAGACATATAAAAAATATTCAACATCAATAAATATCAGAGAGATGCAAATTAAAAGGACAATGAGGTATTGTTTTCCATACAAACAACTGTAAACCTACTTTTGCCCCACTGAATATTATTCATTAACATGTTATTGGTGTGTGATTTACCATTTGAACATTTTAGTTTATAAGATTTGTAAAAATGTAGCCAAATCAATGACCTAGCATGGAAACAAAACATATGAAAAGAGCTAAGCTCTGAACTGTATAGACTACTAATTCCAAATATGCTTTTAACATGAATAATGGAGCCAGACTTGTCTTTCAGGCCACAAATGCATAGGAATAAAAAGAATGTCTGTCTATAGAATTATTTCCATTGGAAAATAACTATTTTTGTGACCCCAAAACTTAAATTAGAAAACAAAAGTATTCTAACTTCCTAAACAGAGAAAATAATTCCTTTTTGGATAAATTATGTTAAGCACTTCTTTTTTTTAAGTCAATTTCTAACCTTAGGCTTTTTTTTAATCAGTTGCCAGGGAAGACTTCATCAAATATGCAATTATAATAACTGAGTATATTTGTATTTCTAATCTACAAAATTAGGTCTTTGTCATGCACACATATGCTTTAATAAATGATAATAATAATATTTGTTTCTCCATCTACTTTGCACTGCAATATCATAGTATAATAGAATGTTAAATATAAAAAATCAAAAAAAATCAAATTTATCATTATTTTAGAAACTGAGAATTGATTTTCCTATATATCATAAAAATCTCATAGCTCTAAAATATAAAAACATAATAATAGCCTAATAACTATGCATGGTGTCAGATGGGTGCCAGATTTATCAGGATGCTAACTTATTAAGTTATGTAATGTCTAATCATTTGAGAGTACACCTGAAACTAAAATAATAACGTATATCAACAGTAATTGAAAATAAAATGATAAAAGAAAAATAAAAAGCAGTGAAGAGTAAATTTCCTCACAGAGTACCCCAGAGAGAACTATGGTTAAAAAGTAAAATTATTAACGATTATTCAGAAATAATTTACCCATTTACAATCTTCCATATACCCCCCTTTCACACACACACACATCGGTTTAGGATATACACTGTCTACACCTTGCTTTTTCACTTGTCTTGGAGAGGGCGCTATATTAGGCTACAAGATCTACCTCATTCACTCTCTTTGGTATGTGTGCAGCTTTGCAGGATAAATTGATAAATGAAATGGTAAATGCAGTTGATATTTTGATAGAAATTGCAAATGTGGTTTCCAGAATGTGTATGAAAATGCCCATTTTCCTGAATCCTCTACAAAACTATTGTTTTATTTTCTGATCTGATAAATGAAAAGTGGTTCCATGTTTTGCTTCAATATTGAGTGAAATTGGCTATCATATCTTG